GAACTAATAATGCAGTAATTTCAGAATAACAAATGAGGCCAATGTAACTGAGGATCAATACAAACTAGGAGTAACTCTGAACTCTTCAATGCCAGATCAGTTTCCAAGCATTTTCTTCTTGCTTTGCAGGGAATACTCAAGTTTTCTCATTTCCTTCAAAGTAAATACTTTATTCTGCAACACAGAAATCATGATAGCATCAGCACTTATTGCGCAGTGTAATAACTAGTTTATCTTAACGAGGGACTAAAGACTTTCGATCCAATCTCTAAAACACAGGTGACATCTTGACTTAAGACAGAGAACAAATATTCTTTATAAACATTTGACAATCTCAGGCTTAGGACAATGAGTCAACTCAGACACTCCTGTTGCAGCATCAAATTGTTCCATGTAGTAAAGCTGCACCTTTCCTACAAGACTGCATGTGCATTGCTTTGACTCTGGCCATTTTGATAGAACAGAATGAAGACCATGGGTACCAGCTGTTATCTATCTTGCAGCTCAGTAGTGATGATCTAATTTGGAAACTGGATTAAACTTGATGGATTAGCATGCTGCTGTACAGCTGCACGGATTTATGGTTGTCATGACAACTAACAGAAAATGTATCCTACTGATCCTCCCTGAGCAGATCTGTTTCCATGAACATTAACAAGATTTGTCACCAGGGCAGACATACGTACAGTTATTTTATTGCAGAGATCCCCACTGGTGTAATCTCTAACTCTCTACAGTTTAGAATACTAACTCGCAACTATCCTCAAAAGATATTTTGTCAGGTCATGAACAAATTCTGGAAGCACTGAAACATCCTTGGATGTTATCTGAAATTTCTCAAAAAACTCAGTGTTGTTCTATTCATTTCCAAGGGCGTGGAGTATACGAATAAGTGCTTATGTTATAGATGCAATAAAGTGAGTGTTATCCCATGCTTCCTACATTATGTAGACTCCTCTCATATTTTAAGACTATCAAGAGACACACTGACCTATTCAAAGTTATCTTCTCAGTAACTTGTTTTTCCTGCTACAGTGAGAAAGGTTTTTGGTTTCATGCTGCAGGAAAGAAAGCAAGGAGCTAAACAGTACTTCCAGTCTTACTGCTGCCTGCTTGCAGAATCACTCTGTGCAATTATAATAAAGCACAGTGGGTAGAAAATGGAAAATAAAAGCCATTTACCTATTTTAAGGAGCAGTCAGAGGCTGCTCTGATTAACATTTGCCAACAGTCCTAGAGGAACAGGGCACTACCTGTGGATGTAAAGCTTTCCTAAACATAACAGAAGAGCCCAGGTGTGCAACTCCTGCCCATCTCACAGCACAGCTGAGAGAGCAGCCAGCACTCCCAGCTCTGGGCGCTTTGGAATTAGACTAGAGGCCAGTGCTGCCCATGTGAGAGCTGCGTTTCCCTCCAACCATAGGGAGATAATCCATTGCTTCTCTGCATGGTCCAAATTCATCTGCTCACTTTCGTTATTTACCCCACCCCACCCCACCCTCTTTTCCAATGCCAATTAATTGCTTGCAAAACAGAACAGTCAAAAAAGTATTATAATAAATTATGTTTACTTGCAGTAATGCGAGACCTGGTTAGAGATCTGCTGTGTGAGTTTATAGTGTAACTGAGTATTTTCACAGGACAATGCAAATGACTTCGTAAGTGGAGAACGTTTATTGATATATATCAAAAGCTGCAATTTTTAAAGCAGTAATCTCAATGGTAATTGTAAGAAGGGCAAAAGTCAGCACATGTAGGATTATTTGGGGCACACATGATACTGCAGGTTAGAAAAGAGATATCAGATGAATTAAAAACACTTGAGGATGGATGATAACATTTAATGACCAGGAAAGGTAAATGGAACAAAACTATTCTAACTGACAGCAGTGGGATTACTCTCCCTGTGGAATTGCTTTAGGTCTGAGAAAACATTACACAGGGCAAAGAAAAAAAAATTTTAAGTGGCAAAATATACAGAAAAAAGGTTGTTATTAGCAGAGATGTAGTAGGAATAAAGATACATGGAACCATTTTGATAGAATGATATTTGCTTTTATTGTTTTCTTTTTTATACACACATATCTTCTCTCCCTGAAAACAAGCATATTTATGTCAGCTGTGGAAGGGGCAATCCAGGCACACAGCCATATAATGTCAGCAAATCTATTCCTCGGGAGCCAGCTTCAGCACCAGCCCACACCCGTAGTGGGGGTAGTCCCAAAACCACAAAGGCTGCTCCGAAAGTAATGCCCCATTTCATAATGTCGGCCCACGCCACTAGAGGCAGATGTTGCTGGTACGGCTGTAGAGGCTGGGCCTTCCCACCACTATCCCCTTACGTTTTGTTGTCACGTTGCAGACAGCAACAGAAGGGCGCTGGCAAAATGGCATCTCACACAGAGGTGTGCATGGAGCAAAGGTGTGCCACTGTGGAAAGAACAGCACCCTGACGTGCACTGACACTCGCTGAATGCTCATGGAGACCAAACGGTGGATGTGAGCACAGTGAGGTGGCGTGTGGTGCATTTCAGCGGGTCAGCTCTGCTGCTGCAGGCTGTTTCGAGCATGCCATGCAGCTCTTGTTCACAGCTGGTGAAAACGCACAGCTCCTGGTGATGACTGTTTAAAAAACAGTGTTATGTAGCTGAGAATTTGCCCTATCAAACAGCACTGTTGTGCTCTTTGTATCTGTGGTAAACTCCCACGGAAGTAAGCAGGAGGTGTAAGTTTCACAGCAACCAGCCGTCACGGGCATCACCGGGCCAGCCGCTCTGCCACCATACGAGCAGACGCACTGCGAACAGGCCAGTACCCGCACCCGGCGCACGCTGCCGCACATCACATCTTCCAGGCAACGCGCTGACGTTCAACACAACGGGGGATTTCTTGGACAGAGAGCACCGCGGCTGCAGGTGCGATGAGCGCCGGCGCACCACGGCTCGTCCGGCAGCTCCGCTCCCCGCCGGGTGCGGGCAACGCGCGGCTGTACCGCGGAAGCCGGGCACCAGCGAGGGGCGCGGTGGCGGTGCGTCCTCACAGGGCTGCCCCCGCGCCGGGGACGCTGCGTGGCCGTCCCGAGAGCCCACAGCCCCGACCGCCGACCCCGGGCACCGCGCGCCCGCGCCGGGTACCGCCGCCATTTCCTCCCGTCAGGCGCCCGCCATTTGCCCGCCTCCCGCCCGCCGCTCGCTGTGAGGCAGCCGCGGAGGGGCACGGGACGCCTCTCGCGACGCCGGGGAGCCGTAGCGGAGCCTGCCGGTTCAGCCCGCGGTGGTACAAACCGCTTCCTCAGAGAAAAAACAAAACAAAACATTTTTTTTTATAAATGCAATATCAAAAATTTGGCATAATAAGAAAAACCAGAATCTCAGTTCCATATCCTGCACAATTAGCTGTCTGGAAGTTCCGCTCAGGCAGGCAAACCAGGGCTGAGGCTGTAAAACGCTGCTCCGGTGACTGTTCTCCACAGAAATGACATCAGACTTTACCCCCACGAACCTGCCGATTAAATTTTCTTCAGCTTGGGAAAACTGCTCTCCAAAACAGCAGCTAATCCTTTCTCATGGTGTCTAAACAATTCAGCAGCTCTCAAACTATCCATCTGTCCTTTTCCTCTCCCTGTCCTACTTTCACAGGTAGTTTTGGCTTTTAGTGGATATTGTAAATAAATCCAGAATTCTACTCCTAACCCCAGCCTGTTTTCACATTCACACTGTAAAATCCAGCCACACCTCATGCGTTTCTGTTCATTCCCTCTTTTCCAGACAGTACTGCTTCATTCTGATCAGTGTTATTTTGCATGAATTCAGCTGTTTACTCCACAAGCCAAGACAGAAAAGCAAGTTACGTTAATCAAATTGTTGGGAATTTTAATTGAGATCCATGTTTGTTTTTGCAACAGTTTCTCAATGGATAAGATAAAACACAACAATCATTCTGAATGACACTAAATAAAAGCACAAATTTCAGGAAATAATCCTGCCTTTGGAGAAGACAGAATTGAAAAGCTTGATTTTAACTAAGAGCTACAGGATTACTAAGTGCATTAGGGAACTTCCTTCGAAAGCTCTTCACTTTGCAAAGAAAGTTCTTCAGAAGCATAGAACTCTACTCTCAAGGCAGTAATTGAGCATTAGGAGTCCTTAACACAGCTGAACACAGATCTAGACAAGTACTTTCTAAACAAACATAACTTTTAATATTAAATTAAGAGCCCATTACAATAAAGGGATTGATTGTTAATACTGAGATCTGACACCGTAATTGCCAGTCACTCCACTGTTCCTGCTTTAGCAGATGAGATAAATAGTGCAACATTTCATGGTTGGTATTGTTTTATTGTGTAATATTAAGTAAAATGCTTATACTTCTTCTTTTCGATCCCCAGTTTAGCACTCATACCTATGGCTTTTTATTTTTAGCACAATGTCTTTGTGTCAAGTGTCAGAACTTCATTTTGAAAAAAACAAGCAACCAAGAATCCGATACCATATAGACGAGTCTTCTCTGTATTTGTTTAAACATATTCACTTTCAAAAATGAGTATTTATAAAAGTCTACCGGTAGATTTCCTCCAGCTCATGTTTAACACAGTCTGTAAAGAGCTCTTCCTGTTTTAATGTGTCCCTTTTAGAGTGTTCTATTATCCCCATGTTATTTGGTTCTTCCCCCAACACTCCTCATAGTAAGTTTAACGCAAAAAAATCAGTAGATGACAATTTCAAGCAAAAATATAAAGCACTATAACATTACCTACATTGCCTTTTACTGAACTAGGTTCCTGAACACTTCAGGAGCTTTGTGGGAATTCCACCAGTCAGTGTTGAAAAGGCACAGAATTTTTGTGCTCCGAGATCTCCAGCAAAAATGGTTTTTGCCCAGAATGAAAGTTCAGAAGTTCCAGCTTGATATAAAGAAACGCAGGGACTGCTGCTAGATACAGCACTGCAGGTGGATGGCACGCAGTCTGCCCAGAAAATTCACGGATACCCAATGGATTGTTTATATGAGAAGCCACCAGATTTTACTAATTATTCTGTCACAGACACCCTGCAAATCTATAACAACAGTTTGTTTCTACGCCAAGAAGAAAAGAAGTTATTCTTACATATAACCAGCAATGGTATAACAGTAATACAAGCTATTCATTATTAAAATTCTTGCAAAGCTGCCCATTTCTGTGGTAGTTTCTGTTCTATCACGTGAATGACAGTTATTTTTAATGTATGACAGAAATTCATTTGTACGTGAAGAAAGCTAACTTTGGTCCACTTGTCCAGCTTCCAAAGGACAGCATATTTGAAAGACGACCACTGACAGTTCAAAAATCAATGTAAAAGTTAACAAAAAAAAAAATTTGGTATTTTAATCCTAAGCCTGCACAGTGTGGTTAATTGTCCTGGTTGTCCACCTCTTCATTCTTTATATCCACTAACTGTTGAGTTTTTAAGTCTTCAGCCTGTTCATGAACTTCCTTACCTGCATCACCTATACAAATAGGTTTCTTTTCTCCTGGATCTCCTTGGTCAACTCTCTCATATTCTACTTGTTCAAAGTCAGTGCCATCTGTAAGTTCTGCCTGTACTTCTTCCATCTGTATTTGATTAACATGCTCAACATGCAACTGCTCCACGTGAACTTCAGCACCTTGTTCAGTTTGAATGTGCTCCACTTCCAGGTAACTAATTTGCACCTGTTCTTGCAGTTCATCCATCTGTGTGCCTTTCACTTGATTGTCCTGTATGAGATCCTGGTGCATCTGTTCCACAGTTACCTGAGCAGGATCCACTTGTACCTGAATTACTGGCAGGACATGAACTTGCTCCACTTGTTCTATTATAGTCATTGATGTTACTGGTTCACCTTCCATAGCTTCCACTGGAAGAACCTCTTCTGTCACTAGTCGTTCTGAAATATTATGTGTGTCTTTTAGATGCCTTCTCAGCTCACTGCCTTGCATAAACCACAAATCACATAAGGTGCAGTGGTTGGGTTTGTCGCCAGTGTGGATTACCAAGTGATCTTTAAACTGATCCCAGCTGTTAAACACGCTGTTACAAACCTGAAACAAAAGACACAGTGAGTATAACGATGCCAACAGGAATATGGCAGAGTATAATGCCTACTTCAGTCCATGGCTTCACGCAGTGTAGCTTCCTGAGACATAGATTAAAAAAACTTCAACACATGTCAAAGGTAAAAGCTGAGAAGTTAGCTTCAGATCAACAGAGTAGCTATTATTAAGAAAAAGTGTGTCATTTTGACCTGCTACCAAATTTATCAGTCAGTACAGCACTTGAAATTTTGCTTATTTCAACTCTATGTGAAATTTAGATAAAGAAGCATGTCCCACTAAGTGTCTGGTGCTAGAATTACGGGCAGGAAGTCTTATAAGGGAAGTTCTAGATACAGGACTTCTAGCTAATTCTGATCACAGCATTGTGAAATTTAAGTAGCTAGATTAAACTCCTGATTTTTGTCATTTCAAAAAAATATCTCTGTAGATGAAAATCTCTTAAAACTATATCCATGTTAGTCCTGCCTAGCTATAAGTATTGTTTAGACTGCAGACACATTATTTTGAGCACACTTCCTTCCCTTCAGGTGGCACAGAGATGAGTAGCCTGAAAATGATACAAAAAGACATTGCAGAAATGAGTATATCAATCTACAGCATTTATATTTGCTTATAAGACACTATGGATTGTCATCGTAAGATGGAATGACTTTACAGATAAAGTCAATACACTGAGTATCAAACAGAAGAATAATAAAATAGGAAATCAGATAGTACTTTGTATTTTGGACTTCAGTGAAGCATGCACACAACCAGAAAAGGGCTAGTTCAGTGTATGAAGAACCCTGAAAAGGTTGCAGAAATAACACAAAAATAATATGAATGGAACTATGTAGATATCAGAATTTATCTGCATGTTGTGGTTGAACTGATTCTTACATTTATTGCAATAAAAGCAGTCCTTGTTCACATAAGCCTACTCCCCTTGCCTTCCCTGCTTAGTATGCCCACACTCCCAGTACAGGTTGGAGGTGTCCAGCCTCATACTCTGCAACCCTCATTACCCACCTGACACTCATATAGCTTCTTCCTTCCCTTTTTAGCTCCAGCTCCAGACTGACAGGCCGTCAAGTGACATTTGAGCGTGCTATTCCTAGCAAAACGTTCATGGCAGTTTGGACATTCAAATGGTTTTTCACCTATAAATACAGACACAAGGATTTATAAGTGCATAAAAACAACCAGTCTTCTGTCAGCTTTCCTTTCTCCACTCACTTTCGCAGAAGTTGATAAATATGCCATAAAGACTTGGCCAGCTGGACTATTCTAAAGAACAAGAGAAAGACATTCCATGTAAATTTTACTCATGTAAATAAAAGGGCAAAAGCCTAATGTAAAATTGTGAGTCTCATCTAGAAAAAGACAACCCAACATAATTGCTGGTGCTATTTGAAGCATATTTTAGGTCTGTATGAAAGACTGCTTTTCTGTCAAAATATCTTAATGAAATAGCAGCTATTTCTGTCTTTTTACCAATACTTACAGGTGAAGACTTAATGTTAGAAATTATACAAAGCGACATACTAAAGGAATTATAAAAAAAGAAAAAACAGTTTTATTTTCGAGAACAGTCACAGCTCATGCTGGAGCCTACAGAGATTAGTCATGAAGTAACAATGTATCAGCATTAAAAAAAAAAAAAAAGGAAAAAAAAGGACAACAGAAATCAGAGGGGGACATATAGGGGAACAAGCAAGATAAAAAAAATTCCTTTCTCTTTGGTTACTTTGTTTCCAACTTGGTATCAATAACCAGGCGTGTTTTCCACCGTGAAGCCAGCTAAAAGCAGCAGGGAAAGCTGAAAACAGGTCCAGTTTGCTCTTTTCCATCAAACGCAGCATATCACTATGACTGTCATCAAGTAGTAACAAAGAACAAGTGCTGTCTGCTTACTAATTTCATCATGCACAAACACAATGTGAAGTTCAAGGAAATGAAAGCATTAAAAATTAGGAACAGTATGTTTCTTCTCAATGTCTGACAATTAAGATGGCATCAAGGTAACTACAGAAAAAAACTAGTTAACGAGGCTGTAGCATTTCAGTGAACAATGCAAATATCTAAGTTAGCTAAATAAAGTTTAAAAGCCTGCAGTTTCAGGAAGACAGTCAACACTGACTGCGATGGAAAGCCAATAAATCTGTATCTTTGGAATCTGTATCTTTGGAAATAAAGATACACAGAAATGCCTATGTAGCTTTTCAACAGAAATCCACAAGTAGCCAATAATTCTAGCTCACACAGCTGGGGCCACAGAAAAAGTTAAAAGGTGTGAATTTTCCCATATCCATTACAAAAGGCAATGTTTTCAGAGTGTACTGCATAGGTAATGCCGAGCATGCTGAAATGCCATCAGTCTGCCACATCAAAAATCACAGACTGTGCTCTTGCAGCTACACACGGATAAGCCAAGATGACAGAACAGCACAGAACTCCCAGCACAGAATTACACTTGGTCTGCGATCTGGCCACATTCAAACAGTTCCTTGTGGCAAGCCACTGCCCAGCAGGAGCAGACTTATTCTACTACTAAAATTCTGTAGTAATTTCCAACGCATTCTGACAAATGCACCCAAGAGTGACAACTCAATGATAACAGTGCCAATATCCAAGGGCCAAAAGAAGGTGAGTGACTGCACAGTGTGAGTCAGCACCACAACCCAGAGGGATGGTGGAACAGCATGTGCAACTCCTCCACTTCCATCTTCACTTCATAAATTCCATAAAAGCTTTTTTTAAAGAAAATCCTTCAGGCAGTGTACATATGTGTTGGAGAGAATCACGAAGCACTGTGGCTGTCTTTTCTACTTTCTTTTACTGAGACAAAAAACAGTAAAGAACATTAAAAAGAACTACCAAAATTAATAAACAGTCTATTTTTTCTGCATCTGCTACCTTAATGTTATTGCTGGTGCTGCAATTCAAAAAGCAGCAGGATGAGATAGATTACAAGACATTTTCTCCCTGAACACTTCATTTTACATAGCATTCAACAAATTCTATACATGCCTCTGGGTCAGTGAGATTCTTCCCACTAACCTTAGGAGACCACAGTTAAGTAGTATAATAAGGTGTGATTTAAAGGGCAATGCTTCCAAAACGTTAAATTAGAAGCAATTAAATTCTATATTATAGTGTACCAATAAATATCGATAGTTCTCTGTATTGCTTGAGTTCTCTGCTGAATTCTCTGCTGAATTGCTTTGTCCCAAAATCCTGCCACATCAGCTACCACATGAAAGAGATACCTAACTTACTGTTAATCTGCCACAAACTTTTGTCTGAAAATACCTGTCATACAGCCTGCAGTAAGTTCAGTCATAGTGAAGAAACACTCCCTACTTTATAGATAATAAGGATTTTCCAAGGACTTTCTACAAAAGCAAATTTCAAATAGAAATAGAGGGGAATAGAAGGGAATAGAATAGACTAAATATAGTGTCATAGATAAGATTCAGGTGTCCCATACACAAATTCAAAGAAATTCCAATTAAAAGGCTATAACAACAAACTGTGAGGAAATAGAGCTGCTGCCCTCCATCAAATTCTTACTGACATATTAAACAAAATCATCTGGAAGGTCAGATAGCTCACACTCAAAAAGTTATCTACATAATGCTTAATATCCATTCAGACAGATAGTTCAATGGGATGAAGATGGAGCATGTTAATCTCTCACGGTATAGGGAAGAAAGAAGCATGAGTCATCCTGCAGGGAGAAAACACTATTCAGATTTCCAAAAGACAGACTTTACAATAGCAGAAGTCTACCGCAGTCAGTAGAAATGTTTTGCTGTTAATTAACAAATAAAATCTACTTGCAGATGACAAGAGTGAGGACAATACTGCAATGGGAGGATATTTCACTGATACGCTCAAAGCTCATATACTGTTTGAGCAGAACATATCAGTAGAATTGTAAAAATAGAAATAGCTACTCAGTTTAGTACTTCTAAAGAAGAAAACATGCCTCACAAAATCATGAATAACAGTTTTTAATGCACTTGAGGAGCTTCATTAAGTCTTTCTGCTTTAGGTGTGTATTTTTAATAATAAAAAAAATCTCAATTTCTCAGTTTATATCAGTGGGAAAAAACCATCAGCACAGAATCATAAATTCTACAATTCTTCGATTAGTGTTACCTAGAAGCCCAGTATTTCTAGCACTCACATGCTCTCTTCATCATATTCTCTGCTTCCTCAAAATATGCAAAAACCCAAAGTGCCACAGCTGAAGCCACAAGTACATGCTCTTACCTGTGTGTTTCCGGAGGTGCTCTTTAAAATGCCCAAAGTGGTCAAACTGTTTATCACAGTACTGGCATATGTGTATTTTTTTGCCAGGTCTTTGCTTCTTGGGGGCACCACCTTCATCAAGGTGGTAACAGGTGAGGTGCTGTTTCAGAGCATTCTCTCGTAGGTACCTTTTATTGCATATGTCACACTTGTAACTCTCAGTAGAGTGTGTTTTCATGTGTTCCTTAAAATGGTAAAACAATTTAAATGAACGGTTACATTTCTCACAGTGGAATAAATTGTTCATGTGTGACAGTTGAAGTTCCACAATTTCAATACCTTCTACCTGTTTGCATGAAGGATCAGCTGCATTGTCAACTTTTTCTTGGATCTGGCATTTTCGCTCTCCCTGACGATACTTGCTAGTGATATCTGCCAGAAGAGCCAAAGCAGATTCATCGGATGTACCCGTTGTCTGTATGTACTTTATAGACTGCTCTGCAGAAGCTACTTCCTCAAGTGTCTCAATGCTGTCTTCTTCCACTTCAATTGCTCCCTCAGCAATCTCAACTTCAATTTCAACAGGCTCTGATTCTGCAGATGGCAGCGATTCTGTGATAACATTAGATGTTTCAGCTATCTTCCTCTTTTTCGGTTTAGTTTTACCTTCTGTTTGATTTGATTCTAAGGCTGATGAATTTTCTTTGTTTCTGTAAAACAGATGTGTAAACACGGTTAAGATCCACAAAACTTTTTCTCTCAGAGAGTGGTCAGGCACTGGAATGGCTGCCCAGGGAGGTGGTGGAGTCACCGTCCCTGGCAGTGTTCACGTGGTGCCTGAATGAGGAGCTGCGAGATATGGTTGAGTGCTTGTGGTAGCATGGTAATGGGAAGATGGTTGGAATGGATCATCTTGGAGGTCCTTTCCAACCTTGTGATTCTATGAGCGCTTACATAAAAGTTCCTGCCTGACACCAAGCTTCTGCATTAAACACTTTCTAGGTGCTTCTCAATGAAGCTGAACGGTGAATGACCATATAACAGCTATAACAATTTTCTGCTTATTCTGTATTCCTCAGAGCTGCAAAATAGAAGGTTAGTGTTGTGGAGCCTTTTACATAAGGTTACTATAGTGTTTTACAGAGCTCTGCTTGAAAGCTACAAAACACATCAGTAAGAAAGACCAGTTAGCATAATGGCATAAGTTATCAGAGAAACTTGTCAAATCTTGTACTTTATTCTACTCAGAAATAAGATTCAAGTGCTTTCTGTGTTATCAATGTTTAAAGCTCTGGAGAGTATGCTACTGCTTGTGGCACTTTAAAATTAGAAAACACTAAAACTGTGACTCCACACAATGATTACTGTAAAATCTTGCACTTCAGGAAAGAACACAAGGTAACAGAAGAGGGAAAAAAATGGAGATGCGGAAAGAATATTCTATTTAATTTTCTAGGTTTAAACAAACCGCCCAGATCTGTACCCCTCGTCCCTGCATCTCACACACACAGCATTCTTTCTCCAAGACGTCAGGGACACTATCCCATGCCAACCTCAGGCAGAGCTGAGTGAGACTGTTTCCAAGGCTGGCTTTGAAGATTACCCAGGGTACAGAAGCTTTACTTCCAGATTTTCAGATCTGAAAATAGTCAGATATTATCTCAAATCAGACTGATAAGATTAATCCAACATTTTTACCTTCCTTTGCAGTCTGATGAATCCTTTCATGAAATTCAGTCCCTATAGCTTTTAGTTTTTCTAGTAATAGATAAGGATTCCTCCAGTATCTCTGCATGTCATGTGTCAGAAACACATGGCTAATGACTTAATGCAGGATACAGCTTATCAAATTATACCTGTAATATTCGAATAAAGGAATACAGAACACATAAACTTACAATCTATCATGGATTTCTGAAGCCTAGGTAGGAGAAGACAAGTTTTTTTTTGCATATTACTGCAGGAGCTCCAGGATCATGAACCAAGAACTCATAGCGAGCAGCCCTCCAGAGGAGGACTTGGTGGACAAAAAGCTGGACATGACCCAGCAGTGTGCACTTGCAGCCCAGAAGGCCAAATGTATCCTGGACTTCATTTTCTGAGGCAGTCAGCTCCAGTACAGGTGTGCTCTGCAGTAGAGCAGGGGATCATGGTGTGAGAAGGGGGACCCTGAAATTGAGGAGACCCAAGGACAAGCAGTAAGAAGCATGGCTACCAGACCTGACAAACAGGGCAAAGCAGTTTGCATGGCAGTTCACGCAGGAAGTGTGGCCACAGCCCAGCAGGCAGCCCGCTCTCTGTCTCTTCTGAGAGCAGCAGGCAGCTGCGCTCCGTTGAAACAAACGTGGTGACCACCTGCCACAGTGGTTGAGCTCAGGCAGAAGCACAGGCTGGAGGGCCACAGCTTCTCTGGGCTGACGCATGGACCCAGACAGAGCTCTAAGGAAAGACAGAGCTGCACAGACTTCCAGTTGTGGCAAACTCCACAATCCAGAGTCCTTCTAGAGCCTGAGGGAAGGAAATGTCATGGCTGCAAGTGTGCCCAGCTCGATGAACTTTCAGAGGAAGTGGCCAGGTTGTGTGAGGAAATCACCAGCCTGAGAATTATCCAGAAATCTGTGAGAGAATGATACATGGTACCATGCAGTGACGTGGGCAGACTAAGCAAAGCTAGATATACAACACAATTCTGACCCAATTGTTGTAATAGAAGAGGGCGGGGCTCCACACAAGATTAGAAGGTTCCCTCATAAGGAACAGCACTTCAAAATACTAGCAGATGGCTCTAGTAGGAAGATTCTTAAGACTACATTTCAGTGTTTGTAAGAGAAAGAGGCTTACATATTTACCTGATTTCAAGAGCTTTGATTGCTTCTAACATCTGTAGATATTCAGCTGCTTTCCAAACATCATTTGCTTCTTCCTCACCTTGGACCATTAGTTTTGCTGTATAGGTGAATTCTATTAGGTGACGAAATGCCATGTTGCTTACACCTGTTGAGAAAAAAAGAAAAACAAATTACCAAAGCCTCTATCTCATGAATCTTGCATGCTTGCCTGCTCAGAATTTTGCTCACAATATTTATGATGTCAGTTTCTTAAGCTGACACCCTTAAAAGGCTCATGTTGGAATAACAAGTCTGGTACAGAAACGTGGAAATTTGAAACAACTACAGAATAGTGCCATGACAAAGGTAAGAGTATAGGAAAAATGATGTGAACAAAGAGCTCTTTATACAGAGCAATTAAATGTATACACTTATATAGAAAAATATAACCTCGATTTCAGAAGACTTCCGATCAACAAGTTACTAGAAATATAGTGACAGCTCCATGAAATCACTCCCCATCTAAAAAGGAAGTATTGCCCCAAGTTTGTCCTGTTTTTGCACACCAGCTGTGGCATCTGCCACTAGCCATCATCGGGAGCCTTTTCTGCATGAACAGAATGGCTTTTATCAAGGAAAAGGTCAGACTGCTAGTCCTAAAAAATTACAAGGACTGAGATCTCATTAGGTGCATATTGGAAAAAAAAAATTCAACAACTCATAATCTCTCACTCTCCCTTCCAAAATATTTAATTTGTGACTGTTCATTATTTTCATAATTGTATTTCAAGGGAAGCTTCTTCCAGTGGCAACATCTACTTCAGAATAACTCATGAGCTGAGATGTTAAAAATTAAGTGATATCATCAGGCATGCACGTCACCTTTATTAAGGATACTACATTAATTACCAGCTCCAGTACACAATGCTGAAAGCTTTTATCTACACGAATCAGGTTACCTTCAATCTCCACCAAGGGCTCCTGAGTGAAATCTTGGAAGAATCTGTAGAAGAACTGGCTACAGGCAGCAAGAACAGCCTTATGAGCTTTGAAATGGTGGCCTGCCAAGAGAGACAAAAATATAAGATAACACCTTCCTAACTTATACTGCAGAGTAAGTGCAGATGAACAAAAGAAAGCAGGTGTAAAACCTATTTTACAAATCTGCCCTAGCAACATACAGCCATCTGCATCAGCAGACAAGGGAAGGTTTTTGACATAGTCACCCTTAACATTCTTCTCATGAAGTTGCAAAGATATGGATTTGATGGGTGGAGCGTTCAATAAACAAAGAACTAGCTGCAGCAGAGATGGCTGGCACTACCAGAGAGTGCTGGTCAGTGGCTCAATGTCTGGATGGAGATCAGTGACAAGTAGTGCTCCTCAGAGGTCAGTATTGGGACCGATGCTTTTAAATATCTTCGTCAATAGGGAAACTGAGTACATTCCCAGTAAGTTTGCTGACGACACCAAGCTACGGGGTGCAGTAATATGCCTGACAAACGGGATGCTATCCAGAGGGACCTAGACAGGCTGAGCAGTGTGCCTAAGTGAGCCTCATGATGTTCAGTAAATCTAAGTGCAAGGTCTTGCACCTGGGTCATGGCAACCTCCACCACAAGTACAAGCTGGGGAATGGAACACAGCCCTGCTAAAAAGGATCTTGGGGTTCCAGTACATGGGAAGTTGGACATGAGCCAGCAATGCGCCCTTGCAGCCCAGAAGCCAACCGTATCCTGGTCTGCATCAAAAGAAGTGTGGTCAGCAGGTTGAGGACAGTGATCCTGCCTCTCTGCTCTACATTGATGATTCCTCACCTGGAGTGCTGTGTCCAGATGCAGAATTCTCAGTACAGGAGATATGTGGACCTGAGAGCGCATCCAGAGGAGGGCCACAAAAATGATCCAAGAGATAAAACACCTCTGCCATGAGGATTGGCTGAGAGAGCTGGGGCTGTTCAGCCTGGAGCAGAGAAGGCTCCAGGGAGTCCTGAGAGTGGCTTTTCAGTATCTAAAGAGGGGCTATTATGTAGGAAGGGTGCAGACCCATTAGCAAGGTCTGCTGTGACAGGACAAGAGATAATGGATACAAAAAGAAGGGAGATTTAGATTGGATATGAGGAAGAATGTTATTACAATAAGGGTGACGAGGCACTGGAACATGTTGCCAGAGAGGTGGAAGCCAAGTCCTTGGAGATATTCAGGGTCAGCCTGCATGGGGCTCGGAGCAACCTGATCTAGCTGTGGATGACCCTGTTTATTGCAGGGGAGTGGGGCTAGATGACCTTTAAGGGTCCCTTCCAACTCAAAAGATTCTATGGTTCTATGATTTAATGTGTCTCCTTGTAACATGGGATACTACTGCAGTTGGCCTCTCTTATTTCATGCACGTGCTTGCTGATGTCACAGGGCTGGCTTTGCTAAAGTTCTGCAATTCAATCATCTGGAGTACTTTTTTACTCCAGAGTTTCTCTTTTCAAATATTTAAGGCAAATCCCCTGTGAAAACTTTTTTCATGTGTGTCTTGGGCTCAGCTCTCAGACTTTATACAAGTTTGCTGTGCTTTTTTACCACTCTTACGCACTGATCTAATTTTATCACCACTTCAACTAGTGTCAGCACAGCTGAAGTACAGGAGTTCTGCTCTGTTTTCCAGGCTGTGTACTTCCCATCGCTGTATCACGATGGCACAGGCACAAACACTTATAATGCTTAATGGGATAGAGATAAGAAATCCACTATAAATTAGAACTGTACATATGTATAAGAAAACAGTTTTGAGCCCAATATACAGGACTTTTATAATACTAGGACACACACAAACATTTTTGCTAAGTTTTGTTCAAGAGCTGGCAGTGAAACTGTGGCAACTGCAGAAGAGTAATCTTCTCTTCATTTGCTTTTTATTTTCTAAGACAGGTTTTATATGACCCTTTTCCTTCAAGTGAGCTATGGCTACCCTTCCAAGGATCAGGCAGTATTTCTTTAGCTGAGGCTGTCCTGGTGGATACTGGCTTTCTTCCTTGAAGTGCTCACCTATTATAAGAAATGTTTAGTGTAAAAAGAATCTCAGGCTATCTATTAGACACCACCATTTCTGATGGGCTAATAAGCACTTACATCTCCATCTTCTCTTTAGACTAATACTTACGTCTCTAGGACACACAAAAAATGGAAAGTGAGTTCTTCTACCTTATTTTAGCTACATATTAAAAGCAGTATGCAAATACTATAGAAGCAAGGAAGCAATCTTACTTCAAGCTGTTTTTAAACTGTATTTGTACAAGTTCTCTGCATGCAAACACTCAGCTTAAGCTAGAGAAAAATATTTTTAGGATATTTTAGAAAACACTTAAATAACATTAAATACAGTACAGCAGTTACAAAGTGGGATTCTATCTAAAAATATTCAGTCACTCATTTGGAAAAGCAGAAGCACAATTACTAATGACTGCTGGAGACTCTGTTCACCCTACGACTTTAAAAGAAAATCTGCAAGCAACTTGCAGCCCATTACAAACAGCAAGAATTTCTTAGCAGCCCAGTTTGACAGCTGACCCATGACAAACCACAAGAGCATCACAGCAGCTATCAGAGTTCTTTGTATGCCAACTGGTCCACATGCCCATACATACCATCCACAATTAGAGTGATGTCTGTGAACTGGTCCTGCTCACGTTGTTCATTCAGTCTATCCAAAATAACTTTATAGTGTTCTGGAAATTCCTGGATGCATTCCATTTTTTCCTCAGCTTCCATGGCAGAAGGACTAGCCTGTGGAATACACATTAGCAGAGTAAGAATACCTTGCCACTCAGTCAGTGCTGCTTACAGACATGAACCAAGTGGCACTTTTCAGGGACCAAAGCCAAGAGATACAACAAACTGCCATGACAACAGGTTTCACACATTTTAACTAGCAGGTAGGAAATATTAATTTAGGTCTTATTTATATATATCAAACAGAAGTCAAACTGCATTTCTTTATTCTCCAATTCAGTGAGGACTCATCTCTCTCAAAGCAAATAATGTAGGGATACAACACATCTAAAGCTAACTACTTAACAACAACTCAGCACTACAGTGACAGGATCTTTATTTCTTGCAATTCTATCCATTTGTTAGGTGTAAGAACAGTTGCTAACAATTCCTTACCTAAGGTACATTCTATATCTAGTGAATACAATATGTTTACTTTGTTTATGAAAGTGCTAAAACTGCACTTCTCAACTTCTAAGAATGTCCGAGTTGCCAGGGATTTAAAGAGTTGCTACATTCAAGAAACAAGAAGGCTCTCATTAGCACAGCTTCTCCCCTGCTGCGTGAAATATTTGTTGCCAACTTATTGAAAGAGGATGTAATCCTATAGTGCTTCCTCCCTTGCTGACACAATAACTGTATCTGGGGGTGGAAGGAAGGTTCCCAGACCTGAGGAGGGTTAGCAGAACTGCCTGTGGAGACACTCAGATGCACCTCTGTTGCTTATGCAAAAGAAACTTCGGAGAGTCCAAGCACTGCAAAGAAAGCATTTCATAAACTGCAGAAAAAATGATTTGAGATTTATGCAGCAGCATTCATCTTCAGTGCCCACACTCATATGGTCCTCACGTTGAGAATGCTTCAAAAAAAAAAAAAAAAAAGACATTTCAAAGTCACATTAGCACAGAAACTTCAGTTTGTTTTCACAGTGTAACTCACTTTGAACAACATGTGGCTTTTGAGAGAAGACAGTGAGTATGCTTGAAGGAGACTCAAAGGAATTCAAGAAATACCCTTTTCTATACTGCTACACTCAGTATAGACCAAAGGAAGAAAGCAGAGTAGTAGGTATTACTAAAGATAGAAATGGAATTCTTTAGTGAGCAAAGAAACAGCTGCTTTCAGGATGCTAAAAGAAACTATATGAGAGGTGCTCTGTCTCTCCCAGTACAGATTTTTTTTTTTGTGTGTGATTGGAACTGGAAAGCCCAGAGTGAAAAACTGTCCTGTGTGTACTCACTGCACCTGTGCTGCTGCCAGCATGCATTCCAGCTCCCTCGTGTGGCTACAAAAGTTCTGTTTTGCTTTCAACAAACACACATACCAGTATAAGGGCGTTGATAGAAAAAGAGAGAAAAGAATTACCTAATAACCATGAAAGCAAAAGCTATTTTCTTACTACTAACATATCAAAGAAAGGAAAATGTCAAATTTGTATTTTAATCACAAAATATGCTCTTCCTTGCATCTCAGAGAGACTGTCCCTTGGAGAAGGCGGAAGAGGAAAAGGGACAAAAACAATTGCTAAGAGAAGTCCGGTTCTGCCTGCTACCAGTGCTTTGCTGAGCAGGCTCTGAAATGCATATCAGACTCTTAAAGGGGAGAAGGAGATCAGCCTGTGGGAGGCAGTGAGGAAAGGAATGGATGCTGCTGCCTTCATTCATCTATTCCAATGAGCTTCAGACAGACTGCTGCAGTCATCTGGGTTTCCACATCAGGTGTCATGTGGGAAGTTGTCAGCTGTTTACTTCACTGCTTAATTCTTCCTGCTTTTTTTTTTTTTTTTAAATCATACATTGATAGATGATGTGAAGTTAAAAACATCACAATGTCACAGGGGTTGGAAGGGACCTCAAGAAATCATTGAGTCCAGTCCCACTGCTGAAGCAGGTACCCTACAGTATGTCACATCGGTAGGTGTCCAGCCAGGTCTTGAGTACTTTCATAGGAGACTCTACAACCTCTCTGGGCAGCCTGTTTCAGAGCTTCATCATCCTTACCGCAGATAAGTTCTTTTGCACGTTAGTATGAGACTTTCTGTGTTCAAGTTTTAGGCCATTACTCTTTGTCCTACAGCTACATAGCATGGAGAAGGGACCGGCCTCAATCCTTTGCGTCCCACCTCCCTGTGGATATTTACAAACATTAATCAGAACCCTTCTCAGCCTACTCTTCCCCAGACTGAACAGACCCAGGTCACTCAGCCTTTCCTCATACAGATGCTCAAGCTCCTATATCATCTTCACAGCCTTCCGTTGGACTCCTTCTATGAGATCTCTTTTTTGAGCAGCAGAGCCCAGAACTGGACACAAAACAGTATCCTATAAGGAAAGCCAGCCAACTTCTGGCTCTCAAATACTACAATTTCCATCCACCCAAATGTAATTTGGAATTAAATTGCACGTTCATAAGGGTATGTTAAAAAAAAGAAACACCTAAAACTGACCTCAAAATAATAATCAACAGCTCCCTATCAAACTGACTGAGGACTTTCTTTTCAAAGCTTCAGTCTCTGTCAGAAGACTTAAAAAGAAAAAAAAAAAAAGGAGAGCTCACAGGACTGCACAGTTTACGGGTAACTCACAGCCCTGTGTCAGTGCAAAGCTCAGTAATATTGCAGGGGAAAAAAAAAAAAAAAAGAAAAAAAAAAAAAGGCCTTTATACTATCACTGCTCCAGAGCAGGAAGGCAAGAAGCACCGCAGGGGTTACATATGGGCCCTCATTCCAGCGCTGGAAACCCGACCGCTTGTTTTCATCCCTAGCTCTTCCGGGGAGCTCAGCCACACGCTGTATTTCTTATTTGTTTGTGAAACTGCTTGTGGAACGGGGTGTGACAACGCGCAGATCTGCCCCTACAGATCTGCCTCAGCGAAGCCGTTACTTAGGCGCGGTGGGCACGCCGCCCTCAGCCCACTCGGCCCAAACCCTCGGCAGCAGCAACAATGGCGCCGGGCAGCGCGCGCCCCGCCTCAAGCATGGATGCGCCGCAGGCCGCGGCCCGCCCCTCAGCAGCAGCCAACACCGCCCCCCGGCCGCAACCCGCGCTCCGGGACCACATCCAACGCCCTCCTATTGGCGGGAGCAGCTGCCAGTCATCGCGACTCTCCGCCAATATTAGTGCGGCGGCAAGGCCCGCCTCTCAAGGGAGAGCCAATCAGCGCCCGCCTAGTCCCCGGGGCGGGAGAAGCCGGAAGGCCTAGCCGGGGCCGAGGGCCCGCGGGGCACGGGCGCCCCGGGACCGTCGCGGGCGGCCGCGAATCGCGTGAGCGTCCCGCGGGCGCGCCCAAGGTGGGGCCCGAGCTAGTGTCGGGCCGAGCGGCGCGCCCGGCGGCGCCGCCGCCTCGTTAGTCCTTATTACGTCATCAAAGCGCGCATTAATATCGATCTTTTTTCGGATCGCGGACGGGCCGCGGCCTGGCGCCGCGCGCGCCCCGCGGGACGAGATGAAGGTTCCTCCCGGTACTCACCGCCAGGAGCCCTCCGCTTCACCGCGCTCGCGCTGTTCTCGCTTCCTGCTGCCCGGCACGCTGCAAAGCGGGGCGGGCGCCGGCCAATCGCGACTCGCATTCCCGGCCTACCCCGCGCGGCGGAAGTGAGAGCTGCGTCACCTTTCGCACAGCGGCGCGGGCGGCGGGTGGGGGCGGTGGGAGCGGGGCGACCTGGGGCGTGCCGGGAGCTGTAGTGCGATCCGTGCCGTGCTGTCCTGGGGCGTCGCGGCGTGCTGCGGCCTGGCCGCCAGGGCTCGCGCTCGCGCGCGCATGTATGAACGGCGGGGACGGAGGCGCGGGCGGTCCGAGCTGCACGGACCCGGCACTGTCCGCGCCCGGTGCCACACGGCACCGCCCGAAACCGGTCCGAGCGTGTTGTACAAACTGCTTGCCCCGGGCGGCTGTTCTGTGCCAAACGCTGCTGGCGAAGAGCCTTTCCTTGCATCCCGCTGACCCTCACCTCCGCCGCCGCACATGACGGCGCCGGCGAAGTGCCACCCGCTGTGGCGTCCGCCCGCCCTGCCGCTTCGCACCCGGACCAGCTCCGGCGGTCACTGTGACACCGGGGGAGGTCCACCGCACGGGTGTCCCGCAATGGGCCCGGCGTGCTCCTCAGGACGCAGTAGCAGCGGGGTTGGCTCTGCTGCCACGGAGCCGCAGGCAGCGCGTTCGTCTGCGCGCAGTAGCGTAACAACGTTGCTCCTCAGAGCAGATGCAAGTGTTCGGCCTTCCTACTGCATTTGGGTCTGTCAGAGCTGCGGTAGCTGCGTGCTCGGACAAGCTTGCCCACAGGACAGACTTGTTTTACTGACGTCTCCAGCACTTCTCCCTAGTGCCAAATCTACATGATTTGCTTTAAAGTATTTGTCCTCCACCAGAAGTTACCGCAGCACTCAGCATAGAAATGCTGCTCTCAAATAAAGCGTCAGCAGCAGCCAACTAGTTCAAGACAGCCTTTTTTAGTATGTGAAGTCCCAGGCATCTGCACTGTGTCAGCTTTATCAATATGGATTGCTTGTAAAGTAAAAAAACATTGAGGTTGAATGTATGCCCCTTTTATTTCCTTGCGTTAATAACTACTAGCTTTGCAAATGTCATTATATATACATTCTCAGTTGGCCTGTTCAGACCATTGTCTAGATCTAGAAGAAATTTCATTATATCAGAAAGCCACAGCTTGTCTTTTCAGGTGTGTTCGGCGGAATATGAGCCAGCAGTGTGCCCACATGGCCAAGAAGGCCAATGGCATCCTGGCTTGTATCAGGAATGGTGTGGTGAGCAGGACTAGGGAAGTCATCTTGCCCTTGTACTCGGCATTGGTGAGGCCTCACCTCAAGTACTGTGTTCAGTTTGGGGCAGCTCAGTACAGGAAGGACATGGAGGTGCTGGAGCAGGTCCAAAGAAGAGCAACAAGGCTTGTGAAGGGCTTGGAGAACATGCCCTACGAGGAGAGACTGAAGGAACTGGGGCTGTTCAGTCTGGGGAAAAGGAAGCTGAGGGGAGACCTTATTGCTCTCTTCAAATACCTGAAAGGAACTTACAGCGAGAGCGGGGTTGGTCTATTACTGGTGACAGCTGACGAGGGGAAATGGCCTCAAGTTGCACCAGGGTAAGTTTAGGTTGGATGTCAGGAAACACTTCTTTACAGAAAGGGTTGTTAAGCACTGGTATAGACTCCTCAGAGAGGTGGTTGAGTCACCATCCCTGGATGTGTTTAAAAACCGTTTGGATGTGGTGCTCAGGGACATGATTTAGCAGAGGGTTGTTAAAGCAGTATGGTTAGGCTGTCATTGAACTCATTGATATTTAAGGTCTTTTCCAACCTGAGTGATTCTGTGATTCTGTGATTATATCAGATATATCTCCTGCATTCAGATTTTCACTTTAAAGCATTTTAAACCTATTTTTGGTGGCAGTACTGTACCTCCAGCAGCTTGTGGTTGAAATAGAAATATTACTGAAGTTACCAGTGTAGGACCAAAATACTATGATTTTTTTTTTTTTTCTTTCCAGAACAAATACATTCTACTTATCCTAACAAGGACGTGGTTTGCACTTTTCTTATTTTTCATTAATCTGTTTTTTTTCTTCTTTCTTTTTCCTGTTTATGTTAAAAGAACAGTTTGTAATTTGTACTAATACCTGTTAAAATATAAAACTGGACTTACTGAGCTGTAACTGTTCGGGTTCTCCTCTTTCATTGCAGATAATCCTTTAGGATTTTGGAGTGTTATGCTACAGACCAATATAATTTAGCTTTGTGACCAGTGCCCCCTGCTCCTGACCTCTGTCAGTGTGGGTGCCCTAACCAACAATGGGGTGAATATCCTTAATGTGTGAGTGGGTGTAAATGTACCCCCTGCCCAGGTGCTGAGATTCCAGTGGATGATGACACCTGTCCTGCAATAAGGAAGCTCAACAGCACAGGGTGCTGCTGTTAGCTGTCTGTTAATCAGGCAGCAACAATACCTAAGGGGGACTTAGAATGGAAAAGCTGTTGGATGGTAACTCCTGTTGCCAGTGACATCTCCACGATCTTCTTCCTCTCAGGACTGAATGAGTGACTTGTGTTCTTTTACGTGGAGCCTCAGTCTAAGTTATGACTGGTAAAAATTTAACCTGATCTGCAGAGGGTTTAGCCAGGTGACCAAAATGCCGTTGTAATGAGAATTCTAGAAATCCTATGCAACCATAAACAGTAAGTGCAAAAAATGTAGATAATAAACTGCAGACATTGTTAATTCTTACTTAATAGCAAATCTCTGTTTCTAACCACAACCGTGTGGCCAGTTCTCATTCTGCCAAGAGCCTGCCTGTCCTCTGGTGCTGGGTGACAAGACAAGATTTAAACACAAAATAATCTCATTTAGAGTATATTTTACTTAGATGAGGAAAAACATGTCAAGCAAACATGAAAGTGATCTTTATCCCTATCTCTATTCAATCCATATTAGCCATTTCTACATGTAAAAATTCTCTGTGCTTTTTTTTTTTTAATTTTTTTCTAGAAGCACCTCAGTGACACTCAGGAAAGATCTGTGTTCATTAAGATGACCTGATCAGCCTTCTTCACAATATTTGGCTGAGTTTAGGAATGGTTCCGACCCTCCTGCTCTGTGCTTTTTATTGCAGTGCTGAAGAAGGCAGAGAACATTCAGCCAATTCAGGAGCGTTGGCAGCTTTCCCTAGGGAGACCTGTAAAGCATCAAACAGAGAAAAATGGACACTAAATTAATTATGGGAAAATTTGAATCATTTTTTTTCTTTCTTTAAGGGAAAAGTGCAAATCATAGAGTTCCTTTGTTTAACTAAAAAACTCCCTTGTCTGAAGAAATGAAGGAATTAATAAACTGCAGATTCAGAATATGTGCTGATGGCACGATTCAGTAAATAATTATTTTTGAAGGAGGTTAATCAGATTATAAATGCAAGCCAAAAGGCACCATCAAATCCTGTAGTTTAAAGCTATCCCCCACATATCTTTCTCCCCAGGTGGTTTTGAAAGCTGTGTAGTGTACTCGTACACACTGATATCCCACCACATAGTCTGAAATCATGGACGAGTGATTCACCTGGGGAGAGAGAGCTGTGGTGTGGCTTTTTTCTGGCCTCACATATACAAAAGTCTTATGAAATAACTGCTTATTCCTGTAACAATAGCAATCATCTGGAAGAAATCTTTGCTTTAGTGTGTGTCCATTGTACAGTGAGTTAGTCCGTGCATGAAAAGGCTCTGCTGTCCTGCCTACAGCAAGCCAGACGTATACTGTTATGCAAGAGAATAACATTTCTGTAGATACCTTTGACAGGTATGCATAATGAAATAAAACCTGTGGCTTTATATTTTGTAAAGGAAGATAAATATGGGCTTTGCCTCCGATAGCACGATAAAGAGCTCTTCTCTTGGTTCTCTTCACTCCATTACAATCTCGAGAAAGAAGGGAAAATGTAAGGAGTTAACTGAAGTTACAATGATAGCAATAAATATGTAATACAATACTTAAAAACTGTAACATGATAAATCGTAAACTGATACTAAAAATCCTTGGACTATACAACTGTGACATGAATATATCATCTTGTTCCTTTGTTATCTTCTTGTTTTCAGAGGAAGTGTGCTGTCAGCATCGGATGTGCATTTATGTCCACTCAGTACTCCCTGCTGCTTTAAAACCTCCATGCCAAGTCTGGTCTACTGTGTTCAAGTTCATGTTTTTGTAAGTTTGCAAAAACCAGCTGACTAGTGAAGTTAGGGAGATCACTGTAGTTTGAACCCCATAGGAAAGAGGTTTTGAATTTTTTTAACCAAATATTTTCTTTTACATTATTTTGAATTTTGGGAAGAAGTTTTAAGAAACTGTGTGTTTATCAGCTTTAAAAACCACAGTGACTTGAGTTCTGGAGAATTATGAGAATCACTCCTTACAAGACTGCATAGTGTCTTAGTGTTTAAGTAACAGTCAACATCACATTTTTTGCTGTTATCACAGCATAAAAATACAGCAGACACTGGTTAGGCCAGTATTTGGCTGGAAAACCTCTAATTTTTATATGGGTATGCAATGTGCATCATGAGTAGAAATAAAATGCACACATTTGTCATATATATTGTATATATATTACATCTTCAGATATAAAGATTTTCACAAAAAAGCTTCTATAATCTGATTTGCAATTTTTTTTTTCTTTTAGTAAGCCACAATGAACCTTGTGCATTAAAACATGAAACCTGATGATTTTTCTAGTCTTTTTCATAATTCCTGGAAATATACAGTCTGGAAAGCATAGAAGCTAAAGTGGTGGGAGTATTTACCTATTTCACTATCAATTCATATAATTTGAGATTACTTCTACTTTAAGACCATGTAATCTTCCTATAAAACTGCACAATTATGGAATATATTACTGCTGAAGAGAGAGAACATCTGACCAATATGTTCATAAAATGTTAACCATAGATGAAAATACAGTTCAAAATCTGGAAAAATCTGGGGGAAACATCCCACATGTAATACAAGTAACACCGAGATCACTATAAAGTGAGAAAGCAGACAACCTGGACATAATTATTCTCAGCATTTAGGGAATGTTTCTTCCTTCAATAACTGTTTTTTTTCCTGGCACAGCCTTCCATCCGTGCATGCAAGACCATTGCAACACATAGCACACTTTAACTGTGTTGATTACAGTGGTTTAAGTACTACTCCCTTTGCAGACACGTAGATGGAGCCTTCACCAAAGCACATGTGCTGCTGAAAGAGCACCCAGCCTCTCCTCATGTGTGATCCACACTGCAAGCCTCAGACAGGTGCCTGAGCTGTCAAGAGATCAACGACTTGCCTGAAAGATGGAGATTGAATCCCAGCATGAGATTTCTAGGGAACTAGATGTCTGAAATCCTGCAGGATCTTTTAGTTACAAATTCTGTAAGTCTTTTCTCTTAACTCAAGCACATGTCTGTGTTAAACAGTCAATAGAAATGTTATCATTAACTCAAAACATTTACAAGCAAGTCATCACAAACTCTGCAATGAAAAGGGCAATACAATTGGCAATTACTTATTGTTAATTATTACTATTATTGCAGTCATGGGATCACTCAGGCATTTAGCTTTCTGGTTCGCCTGTCTTTCTGAATGCCTGGTAGCAGTAGTGGAGAGAACATTCTTCAGCTTTTTGGCCATGAATTTTAGAAGGCTCCAAGCTTTTTCTCATCTCACTTTCAGATTTTGCTTCCTCTTTGTGAGTTTGTACAGGAAATCTGGCAAAGACTCATGCAAGATCAGCACAAATTTGTTTTCTTCTTTTTTTTTTGCTGACAAGCAAAAGTTCGGAGGAATGTAGTTTACAATTTAGATGTCTGGATAGAACTCTGTTGGTCAAAGATGGGTATGGGAGCTGTTTAGCTGTTCCATCACGAGTCACTGGCTCAGGACTCTGCTGGGGATAATGTCACCTTCCTAACTCCAGACCCTATAAGATAACAAATGAGTCTGATAAATGTCTGATATGATAAGTAATAATTAGAACATAATATTAAGGGTATATGAGTAGTATTCTTGAACCATTCTTGATGCCAGGAGACAGACAGACAAAAAAGAAAAGAAAAGAAAAGAAAAGAAAAGAAAAGAAAAGAAAAGAAAAGAAAAG